CTTAGGTGAAGAGGTCTATGATTTCTTAAATGTTGGAAATTGGATTGCCTTATTAAAAAAAGCCATGCTTCACTGCAACATTGAAAGTTACTAAACCCACATAAACCTACAATTCTGTACCAAAAAGATTGGTATATGTTTACAGGATCGACTGTTATGCATTATATGGTAACAAGCAACACTGTCTAACTAAACCGAATGGAAAAAGTTAGCTTTATGCTGATTTAGGCTGTACAGTTCACCAACGTTTCAAGGAGAACTATGGTAACTTCAACTTTTAGTTTCACCTGTTTAATTTCATTAAAAATCTTGTTTAAGGAACCTTTGGCTGATTATTAATCGATTAATCGAAAAAATAATCAACACAATAATCGGTTTACAAACACATTCTTATTGCGCCCGTACTATTATATCTTTTGCCAGCGACTGTCATGTCTCTTTGCAAATGGGTGCCCAGCCTTATGTATAAACCAATATAAATTTCTTCACTGATGAATATCTATCTGATTAGTATTAGAGGTAATAATACAGCAATAGTAACACATATGTAAATTCAGTCATCGAGTTTAGGCAGTAAAAACTGAAATTGTTAAACAATTTTCTTTTAAGGAAGCCAGTAAATATTTAATCTAACAGAGAATTGGACAAAATGTAGCTCCTACCTCCTGTTCTTAGCTCCTATCTCCTCACTTTTCGCAGGGTCAACTGCAAGAACTCTATTCAGGGTGGAAAAATACTCCGGGAAAGCCATGCTGAATCCCTACGGCCTCCGTTCTTACAGAAAACAACATGCATGAAAATTAAAACCAAAACTACAGAATTCTACGCAAATTATAATAAAAAAACCAAAGTTGTACAAATCTAGTGAATGACTGAAGCCAAGGGCGTAGGTTTGATCTCAACTTTAGTAGGGACTCTATTGGTCTTAAGTTGAATTGGTCTGATGTCATTGGTCCTACTCATTATGCATGCTCTTATTTTTTTTACTGCTTGAAGTGAGCATCAGGGCGCATTTCGCTTAGAGAAAACAGCATTTTTGCTACATTTACACAAATTTTATAAGCACTACACACACAATATGTTTTTTATCAATGTTTGAAGCATCAGTGGCTCAGAATAATGTAAAATTGGGACAACTTAACACTTTGAAAAGCATTACATTTGAATTTACCAGTGACTAAGACCGAAGGTAAATATTTGCCTTTTTAACAAAATATAGTCTAAATATGTCTGTTATATGTGTATTTATCCGGTGTTTTCTTTTGAAGAAATAGAATTGTGCAGCGGCAAACAGAGGTAAAACCCACTCTTATTTTTATATCTGATATGGTATTCAAGGGACTGCAGATAGATTTATTGTATTTACATGGGCACGGGAACTATAAGAGGAACTGACACTGAACATTTAAAATATTAACTTCAATAAACAAGTTGTGAGAAAAGAAGCGACTGCTGCAACAACACTGTATTGTAAATTATAAGCATGTTATTCACATAGAATTATTGGTAGGGACAAGTAGGTCGGGCCAAAATTTTGGTAGGGACATGTCCCTATAGTCCCTATGCAAACCTACGCCCATGGCTGAAACTCTCCTTTATGAAACATATATGTCACACAGAGAACATGTGAAATCAGTGTATTTATGTACGGTGGACTGTGCCTCTACAGTCTCTCATGCAAAGGATTGTGGGGAACCATATAGGTCCTACACGCCAGATAGGAACATGAATAAGTATCTATCCTAAATGAGCTCTATTCCTTCTTTCTTCCTTAATGCCAGCACTATTCAGATTGCAATTATCATGACGACCGCTAACGCCCTGCCGCGTTGGGTTAATATTCTGACCGATTAGCCCGATCCCGACCCCCAAATCGCTGATAGGAGGTGGTAACCCTCCAGTGATCCTAGAGTCTAAACACAAACTGTGAATAAAATATAAAAGAGCAAATGTTAGATGACAAAATAAAGAACTATAAAAGGAAAAAAAAAGACTTTTGTTTTGGTTAAAGTTAGTGCTGGTTTACTATCGGGTATTTAAACAGAGTAAAAAGGCTTTATATAACGGGTGATCAAACTGTGATCCATGAGCCATTATTAGGGCTTTGTCAGAATGTCTGCCCTAATTACTTCACAGGCCACTACATGGGGATTACGCCATTTTAAATGAGTGTCCAAACATCGAGTGGATAAAAAAATAGAGGACTTGAAATTTCCCACAATTCACCTTGAAAAGTAGTGATCATATATGGTCACTAGAGGAGCAGGTATATCCCAGAATGGGATATACTTGTTATTACAGCAGCCCATTGTCGCCATAGGCTGTCGCTACCCGACAGCGGCAACAAAAAAAAAAAAAAAGGTGGGACAGGCACCATGAAGTGGAGGAGGAATTACGTGACCAACGTGGAGTGAAAAGTAGTGATCATCTGTCCGACCGGTCAGTTAGCTGAGTTCACTATAAAGTCCACTGTATATCGTGATTGAGGGATTAGCACTGAAACCCACTTAGAAAGGGGATTGGTGCAGATAATATATTTTTGTTAATTTTTTATCCTTTTTTATGCATAGTCTTTAACTAAGTTTCTTAAATGGAAAATATACAATATAACACGAAGTACCAACTTTATACTGTATCAGCCATATATTACATCATAATCTCACAATAAACAGGAGTGCAGATATTAATTTGTTTGGAAAGCAGCTGTTTATAAAGCTGGCTAATTCCAGTAGGTGTTTTAAAAGGAAGACTGAACCCAATTACAATCCTGTTGCTGAACATTGAATAATAATCTTTTCTTAGTCAAGAAAATAACAACTAATTCCAAAAAATAAAAATTAGAAAACTGTATGAAATCTTTTTGTAACCAATAATAATCTCTCGAACTTACAGATTTTTATGTTTTGGACCTGCAAGGATATTTTTCTCAACTTCTCATCTGCTCAGAACATTCTTTTTTTTTTTGTAGATTGTTAAGCACAATGATTCATACTGTTTAATGTTTAAAGCTTGTTTTTTTCCCTTTTTAAAAAAAAAGAAATCTATTTTTGTAGCTTGAAAATAGTTTCAACCTGACAGTTAATGCCCCTCAAGGCAAAAAGTTTGAGAACTACTGCTTTATATGTTCCGTCCTTAACCAGCGTTTCAGGAAGATAAATCATAGTGCACCACTTTCTACTTTTATTCAAAATAAATAATCCTCAGCTACCACTAACCCAACTACCAAATGCAAACAATTCAACAGTCTAAAAGTTAAAGAATAGCATTTGCATAAACTGCTTTAAAGTTTTTCAGATTAGAGCTGTTTGGAGACGCTTTGTTCCTGCACTGCCAAATATTTAAATCTAAATAAGTAATTTCTTCTTAAAATAAGTTAATTTGTACTCGGATTGACAAGGTAAGTTAGAAACTTTGCCAATGGAACAAGAGCATTTACATTTAAAATAAAAAAATCAATTGTATTGTCTTATTTCAAGTGCATATTATCTAATTATCTTTTTTTAGGGGTAAACATACTCATTCCATTGACAAATCATCTTATCTACCTGCTAAAATTAAGGGTAAATACATTTAGTTTAAGACGTTTTTTATTGTTTCTAGATCATTTTTGCAGTGGTGCCTCTAAGTTTATCTGTCTGCTTCAGCTAATCCTAGACTATATGTATTACTTAACTGGATATCTTTACAAATGCTATTATTGTGTACATATTAACAAAAGAGACTCTTAATTATCATATAAATATTTTTTTTCATGGATTAGTTCAAACCTAAAGCCACTGTAAATTGAAAATGTAAAAACATTCTACATTGAAAAGAAAAGAAAAATCACATTTTCTAAGTGTTAAAAGTTTCATAAGCCAACCTTTGGTTGATCTAATTCAGAGGTAGGCAAGTTAATATTGATCTGTACTATCAAAGATGCTTCGAGAACATATAGTAAAAGTAAGATATTAACTGCTTTTTGAATTTAAAAAAAGCCACAAGCAATACAATTCTAATAATCCCTTTAAGATTATGTGCTGGAAGACTTCAATTTTTGGGCATTTCACTCCAAAATTGATAATAACAACACAGTCAGAATCAGTTTCCATCACTTTTACTTCAATAGGTGCAGCTTTAATCTAAGAGGGGAAAACCTCAGTAGTACTGTTAACTGTGAGTTACATAGAATAGCGTTTAAACGGTGCTACTGTACATGCTGTTAAATGAAAAGTTACAGGATCAGATCTACTGTTTACATGTATGAGGATAAATATATTTGGTGCAGTGCAGGTAGAGTCCCAGTGGTCTCCTACAGTCATTCGTTCTGTGACTCAGCCCAGGATGATTGGCCCACCGTCACAGATGTCAAAGTGAGAGACACGTTGAAGAGAGCACATATTTTCAGACAGACTTTAGCAGGGTTTGTTTGGATGAGTTAGCGAGTAGGATCTCCACATAAACCATAAGATCCAGTTATTCACCAAAGACAAGCCTTTGGGTTTTTCCAGCCATGTCATGAGATTGATTGGAAATGATACTTGGAGAACTTACCATTCTCCCCACCTCTACTACCCCTCCTTGTTGCCGTGGCAATTCTGTTTTGCAGCCATTTGTAGTCAACTTGTTATTCTGCGGCGTGCTTTGTCACACGAAGGATGAGCTTTGTTAAAGGACAGCTGGGTTAAAGTACCACGAAGCATGGTTTGTGTTTTCTTTTTCACACATGCAGCGCTTCTGTAGAGGCAGGAATGGGCTCCCTCACTTGTGGCTGCATTTGACTCATCGTACTGCAGTCAAGAGGTCAACAGGTACTTGTGCTCGTTCATCTGCTGGGTTTCTGCTTCGCTCTGCACCAACACAGGCAGCCTCTCTGGGTTTGAAGGGACGCCGCAGGCTCGGTAAACAACCAGGCAGAGCAGAAGGAGGAGGACGGCAACAACTGTGTTGCAGGCAATGGCCACCAAGGCGGCTGTGGACAGTCCTGTGGAGTTCTCTACAGCTTCCATTATGAACACTGAGCTGCAGAGAATAGGTTGCAAGGAATTAAATCTGCAGGATTAAATATGCTCATTGCAACAGATGGACTGAAATCATTCCTACTGTCCCACATTTAGATGGATCCAATGAGATGGTATGGATGGATCACAGATTAAAGCACTGATATTTAATCTTTATACAGATATAAAATCGATTATAATTGCTCATGCTGAGCTCGTTTAGTTAGAACAGACTTATGAGGAGCAGAGAGAATTTGCCCACATGTTCCCCAACAGAAGAGAAAGCTGGCTCTGTTTATCTTTGTAGATCCTTTATGATGAGATCAGCAAGTCATCAGAAATTAGCATTAATTAAGAGACTCCAGTAGATTTCAGTGAAGGCAGTCAGCGTCTGTAGAAAAGAAGCAAACAATATAAATTAAATAAATATTTTACATCAAAAGAAAAACAAAAAAGTATTGCTTGGCCAATGATCATTTCAGCCTGGATTGACTGGATTTAGTCTCTATTTCGTTTTCGATTTTTCAGTATAAACAAAAACTATTTTATCAACAATCATTACTTCACTTATTTTTTCCAGAGACGGTAAGAAAGCACAGTACTTTGAAACAGTATATATATATATATATATATATATATATATATATATATATATATATATATATATATATATATATATATATATATATATATATATATATATATATATATACAGTATATATAAAGTTTAATTTTTGTTTTATCAGCATTTATTTGACAGTGACAAGAGAAACGTGTCTATCAGGTAATTTTTCCCATGCTTTTCAAAATACAAATTTAATTTAAAAAAAAAAAACAACAAAAGCAATCGATAATCATTAGTTAATTGGATAAAAACTACAAAGTACTCCATTAAATGACATAGACAGCCTTAAACAAAATAAAACCAATCAGTCCAATTGTTTCATAATTGGAATCTGGTTAAATTACTTTCATTAGCTTTGTTTTTAAAGACTAAGAATCAGTTCAGGATCTGGTAGCCTGCAATGTAATGTAGCGACTATTTTTTTCCCATTATAATCCCTTAAATTAAAAAAATGTAATTTTAAAACAGAAACATTTCAGATTATTTCACTCTGACTGGAGTCTAAACTAAATTAACTAAATTAGATAATAAGGGTCGATATTAAACTGGATATTATATTTTATTTTTTGGCCCACACTTTACACTGAAGAGGGACAAAACAGGCCTTTATTTTCAAGTTTGCACATCTAATTTCAAATCGTAGAAAATTTGCTTCAAGCTTTAAATACAACTCATGTAAAGCTTTTGTATATGATGAGACAAGAATAAATAAACTGGCCTTGATTGTTGGTTGCTTGTAGTAACAAAGCCACATGCAGCAGACGCTGGCTATGCTTCCCTATCAATTTAAAGTGGAGTGCATTTTCAAAACCCAATCAAGCACTGTTTGCTTAGTGCAATCACATCAGGAATCCCAAACGAGCTTCTTTATTTTCACATGTATGTCTCTGCATGTTCCACAAAACAACCTGCTTTCTGCTGATGAGGACTGTGTCTGACGCACTGCTGCAGCTGTGGGTGCAAACATCTCTCGCACAGTGAGGCTTTGTGTTTATGTCAAAGAACAGCAAGGGACATCCTGAAAGAAATGAATGTCATTTTATCATTTTTTTAGTTAATATATTGGTAAAGGAGGAATAAAAGAGCAAAAAACTACGCTGAGTTGAACATAAACTTTATTCTCTGCGTAAATTTATATCATGCTGATCAGGAACTGTCATCATTTTAAAGCTCATATTATTCAGAATTTTTTATGCATGGTCACACCAAAACTAATATTAATTACCTTAAAATCACTTGAATCTTTCCAATATTTTATAATTTTTTTTATGTAGTGGATTACATGTAAGTTATAGGTCTGAGCTTAAAAGTACTTCAACGTCCCAGAATAACACCCAAAGATGAAATGATCAGTTCTAAGATTGCATTGCTAATCTGAGCTGCATAGATAACAGGTGGATCTGATAAAGTCACTGAATGATTGAAGCTGGACTGGAGGAGCTTCAAGCCCTCACTTTTAAAGGAAGGTTCTTAATATTACCTGCTATAGTTCTAAGCAGAGCTTGTTTTTAACAACAGTGCATGCCACTTAGGATAATGAGACTTTCATATGCTGTTTAGTCAAACTGCACTGCTATCTAATACAGTCCTTTTATTTGAATATCACTTACCAGAAGGAGCAGACCACCAGTTCAGCCTTTAAAGAAATATCCCACAGTCCACTTCTCTTCACGTGGAGAGCATCTCCTTCTCTAGTTGCCTACCACACTCCTCCTCCTTTCTCATCTCTGCCCCTTCCTTTGCTTCCCCATCTGCTCCGAAACACTATACACATGATGAAGCAGGACCGCACAGTGGCAGCACAAGAGCTTTCCAATAAACAGAGATGCAGAGAGATGGAGAGAGAAAGAGAGGGAGAGAGGAAGAGGAGGGAGCTGTGCATGTGGATGTCAGCGGTGATATCAAGCGTGCGGGAGAGGAGAACGCCTTGGATGTAATTACACAGGTCTCCTGCTGCAAATGGAGGGAAGAGATGGGGAGGGTGTTATGATGGAAAACAAACAGAGCTGGATGTTGAACCAAACAATGGCTTACGCCTTGCACAGCAGTGTAGACAGTGGATGAAACATTTATTTCAAAGGTTTGGTTGAACCCTGGAAACAGAAGGAAATCACACTCAACAACTATGAGAAGAACCTTAGTGAAGTTTCAGTCTGTGGTGCTTTTAACCAAAAGCAAATCCCCACAGTTACTGGAAACTTCATCAGATTCCTGTGTGGTAGCTATGTCTGTTCTAATCTGTTGTTCTGCCCTGTCTCCTTAAAAACATGAACTCCATTAATTATTGTTTCTATCAGTACCTTTTTTTTCTTGGATAAAGAAAATGAACCTAACATGCGCTTAGTTAGGAGTAAGGCCAGATTTACAGCTTCTGATACTACACTGCAAAAAAAGGAAATCTAAGTAAAGTAAGTAGTATTTAAAATAAGAGCTTTTTTTTTCTCTTCAATCGAGCAAGTCAATCAGACACTGTGCCAATGAAATACAATAATTTACATAAAAAAAATGAAAAAAACTGCAGTCTCCTATTTCAACTTCATAATATCTAATTATCTTAATTTAAGGGTAAAATGCTCATTCCACTTGCAGATTATCTTATTTACCTACCCAAATTACATTTATTTTAAGTATTTTGTACTAACATTTAGATCGTTTTTTGCAGTGCCCATGACTAGTATACAGTGCAAAAAAGATCCAGAAATATGTAAAACATTCTTAAATTAATTTTATTTACCCTTAATTTGAGCAGGAAAATAAGATAATTTGCCAATAGAATGAGTATTTTTATTCCTAAAATAAGATAATTAGATAATATGAAGCTCTAGCGAAAGTTCAATTGAAGAAACTCTGACTTACCTCCATCAATCAGAAGCCGATCCGTCTCTGAAGCGAGCCAATCAGCTTCGAACTACTCCACCACGAAGCCCAATCAGCGTCCTGCTTCCACTTTATAAACTCCCTCAAATCTCACCACAGCCGCTATCCTGCAATCGCAATGTCGGATTTCGACTCAGACGACAATTCACCCACCTCCATCCCCTTCTCCGCCATCGCAGCTGAATCGTCCATGACACGACTTCACTTCAACCTCATCAGAGAGTATTAATCCCAGTTGTCACCATCCCTCGCCTCATCGCATTGGTCCGGCAGAAGACCACCATGTTGAGCCCGGTTCTGCCAGAGGTTTCTTCCCAAAGGGGAGTTTTTCCTCTCCACTGTCGCTTCATGCTTGCTCATCATGGACACTTCACGGTACCTGCATCACCGAGCAGGACCTCTATATCCCGAGTCCGAGTGAAGCCCCGGCGTCAGCTCCCTCAGTCTTCTAGTCCCACAATTCTGCCCAGCAGATCACCTTGTCAACCAGCTCGGATTAAACCACCACCAGTTTCAGGCCCGGGGGGAACATCCCTATTCACATTCATCTACTCATGCATGTTAAAGCATAATTCAGCATGAATGTTCCTGCCGAGGTCTGAGCGCCAAAGACTATACTTTCTTATCAATAAATTCTTCTAATTATCTTTTTTCTCTGTGTGAGTTTTTCAGATTGAAATGCACTTATATGCTGGAATTGAAATAAGACGATTTTTTTCCCTATTTTAAATGTCAATTTTCTTGTTCCATTGGCAAAGTGTCTTACTTACCTGCTCAATTAACCTCTTAAAACCCACCGGGTTTCCACCGGACATGATGTAGAACAAATATAATACAATGAAACCTGCTTTTTCTCAAGAATGTCTTTATTACTGCTGTTCAAAAAAGACCTATCATTTTCGAGAATATAAAACAACAACTTTGAGTCATGTTTGAACTGGTGCATACTCACCCAATTTTGATTTATAAATTTTAGAAACTAGATGGTGTTAGCTTTCAAATAATGATTGCACATGTAATTTGGGTTTACAGTTCAGGTAAGTTATTTGCTTTTCCACTTGGGTATAGAAAATAGGCAAGGATTACCCGAAATGAGGTGGATGTTAAGAGGTTAAAGAAAAAAAAACACTTATTTAAGAGAAAAATTACTAATTAGATTTTTATTTTTTGCAGTGTGTGCAGTACAGAAACAGGTACCCTCTTTCAATACCTCAGATGTTTCTCAAATAACATTATTAAAACACTTTTATAATAAAAAAAATAAATCCCAGCAGACAGGTCAGGAAGAAAGTTTTAGAAAAGTCATATTTCAGTTTTCAAATCACACATTCAAAGAATTGTGATATCTTTGAAAATATTCCAAGAAGAAAAGCCATTGTTGAACAAAAGCCATACATCGTTTTCTTCAGTGAAATGTGGAAGTCTCTGATCCGATAAAGCTAATATAAAACCTTTTCTTTTCAATACAAATCACTTGGTCTGGGGCTGAGTAAGGCTTGACAATACCATCCGCTCTGTAGATAGAGGTCAGCCTTTCAGCAGGACTACAACCCTTAATGTTCAATCAGGGCTGCAACAAAATGGTTTAGATAAAAGCTGAATGAATTCGAATTCATGGGATTCATCCTGGGATAGCTAGATTTGTAGGCCGATTACATCATAGGGTGGCACCGAGGTCTGGTCGTATTCCAAGACTCTTCATTATGCAGCTGACATATGTAGCTTTGGATATCCCAGGATTCATTGCGAGACCATGTAAGCCAGCTGCTCCATGATCAGAGGAAAAGGGTACAGTGGTTTATATTGGAAGTGCAGTTTATTATAACACAAGTATGTGAAAAGTTTCATCTGAAATGAACAAAAAATGTTTTTTTGATGATTATTCAGTCAGATATGTGGAGGGCAGTGGCGGCCGGCCCATAGGGGCCGCTGGGGCACCGCCCTCCCTGATAAGAAGAGAGAAACGTAAAATATATTTTTACAAATTAAATCATAAATGTTAGTTTTACTCTCTAGAGTCTGTACCTATAAGCAAAACAAAGTATATAATCTACATTCCCCTATCTACTGTCATTCATTTGTGGATTTCCACAGACAGACTCCTACCGTCTCTGTCTTGGGGCGCTGATTAGACTGCCCCACATGTGCAGAGAATCTGCCAATCATGTACTATTGCTAGGTCAATTTAATAATTTAATGGCCAATCAGCATCTCAGAATTTTATGGTCTTGGGGCGCTGAAAATACTGCCCTTTAACAGGCTTCTGCACCCAATGCACAGGTGCAGACAATTAGAGGGACAATGGCGAATGTAACGAGCAAGATACAGCTTCCACCAAATTTGGTGAGATCCTTATTTATCTACCCGTTAGCCAGAAGAACATCCCTGTTGTAGGGTATGTGAAAATTTCATGTCATGGTTATTGTGACTATGACGAATCCACCTCGTCACTTAAACATTCCTATTATACTGTGCTTGTGAGGATCAATACACTCGCGCTGAGCCCTAAATTAGCGGTCCATTAACTTAAAACACACAAGCTGTTCCTGGTTACCTGCTGGCGTATTGAGGGTGCACACTTAATATTTCAGTGGGGTTTTATTTCACTCTATATTCTCATGAGTGTAGTCTTTGTTCACTTTACAATAAAAAAAAGAAATTTTTTTAAAAAGAAACAGTTTTGAAAAGTTCGGTATTCATTCTTTTCCTGCTATGTGTGTCGTCTCTCACGGTTGCTAAGCGACAGATTGTATGTGCGGGGAAAGCTGCGGAAGGCTGGACCAGTTTGAATTCACAGCCAAATCTCTTCTGCTCTCCTTATTTTCATGGACCTTGAAGGATCCAGTCCAGATAGACCACCTTCTTGGAGGATGCAGCCTTTAAAATCAAACACAACCCACATGGTAACATGGCCTAGTCAAAGTCCCGATACATATAAATGCAAATGAGAAAATTCGGCAAAAATGACTTTTATAGATCGTCTCCATTATGCAAAGAGAAATGGATAAAAGTATTCGTCCCTGGAAGTGGGAAGTAAAAGAAACTTATTTTAAAAGTGGAATCTATCTGGTATTGATTTTTGAATCCAAATGTACATCATAGTCTTTATTGGTTATTAACTGAATTGTGAAGTACTTGTAACATTTGGCTTAGGGGAACCTTGATATTCAAGCTAAACATGGTGTTGTGCTTTTAAAAAGCTTAATAAATACATAAATAGAATCTTGGTGCACGGAGGTAATGTCCAGAGAGGAGCAGAAGGCAGCACATGTAGACAGACCAGAGGATGGATGAACAGGTACAAATGCAAAAGCAAGAACAGTAGCTAAAAAAACATCCAGGTTGGGTCAGGTCCAGCCAGCAAGAGACTGGTATACATTGGGCAGCAAAATGGGTACAGTAAATGCGTTTGGTTGAGGTGCTGCTGAGAGCAGGTGTATGAGAGGAAGCTGATTGCTGCAGAGCAGGATCAGTGAGAAGGCCCGTCAGCCAAAACACTACTGAAGCAGGTTGCATTACAGTACTTTGAAACACACATGCAGAGGGGAGAAAGAAAAACCTGTTCAGGTAACGTTTCTGTCCTCAGTTTAACTGAAACAGTCACTTTTAAATCTTGCAGGAGTTATTACTTAATGTAAGATGTTTCTGTTGTTTGTAATGCAAACTGGCAATGATTATTGTGAAATAAGGTGTGGCATTCTAGGAAAAGGAAATATTTATCTCTGATTTAGTTGGAGCAGAAGAAAATTAGCAACTGTTGAGATAGTTTTCCTTTTTAGTGAAAAGAAAGAGATTAGTCTTCAATATATATATATAAAAAAATCCTATAAGGAGATAAAACACAGCCAACTACAGCTGGCCGTTCTGTGCAAATCATCCCAGGCCAACTGGCTTAAATCACGACTTCTATTTGCTCCATGTCTCTATTTACAGAGCTGAGATTGAAATTTGTGTTTCACCTGGAAACCAAAAGCAGCAATAGAACCTTTAGCTTGAAGCCCCTCTAGAGGCCAAATATATTACTTCACCATAGCT